AAATTTACATAAACAGAGTGTCAACGCCACGAAAATTGCCACATGAATCACTTGTGTTTGGCTGGCTGGCTGGCTGGCTGGCCTACTCGCTGGCTAGCTGAATGGCATCAAATTGGTTCCATTTGTTTTTGTTGTTTATTCCAACACACAAATGTATATATGTATTTACCTATCATCCCACCCCGGCATTTTAGACGACACATGTCAATGCGGATCAAACCAAAACAAAAGAACTATTAAAAAATTGTTACGATTTAACAAATTCGTCTGATCTTTGCTGTTGTTGTTGTTGCTTGGTTTTGAGATGTTTAGCCGCTAAATTAGCATAATTTGAACATTTGTTTTCATTTTATGCCGCGCAAATATTCATCTCGATCGTCAAAAAGAAAAAAAAAAATAGACGACGGCTATGTGGACTTTTTGACGCGATTATCGAAATAAAAATAATAAAAACGCGGTCATAGTTGATCGGTGTTTGCGATGGCTTTCTGGTTGTTGTTATTGTGTGAGGGTATGTTAGATTTGTCATCAAATTTGCAACACTTTTTGAAACATCTATTTTAGATGTTTGAAAGTAAATTTATTTAGGAAATTTTGGTACAAATTTTCTTGAGCACTCGGACAATAATTTTTATACCCTACAACACTATGTGTTGGGGGTATTATAAGTTTGATTGGGCCAAAAATTATGTAACACCTCGAAATATTGATTTCCCACATAGGAAAGTATATATGGATCATCCTATCTCGCCGAGCTGAGTCGATCTAGCTATGTATGTCCGTCCGTCCGTCTGTCCATGTTAATTTGTATTCACTCTACAGGTCGCAATTATGGCCCGATTTTTAAAATGGAGGTCGGGCTAGAGCCAGAATATAACCCTATTTCTTTTGGAGATGATAGCATAATATTTAGGGTTTGAAATGGACCAAAAACTGAAAAAATTCCTGATTTTGCAGTTGCTCTACAGGACGCTCTTTTGGACCTATCGAAGCGGAATTTAGCATGGGGCTAGAGCTGGGCACAACCCTGGCTGGGCACAACCCTTCCAATTTTGGTGGTCATCGGGTAATATTTAGTGGGTGAAATAGACCATAACATTTCTGTTAAATAAACTTCAAATTTTCCATTAAACCGCGAATATTTTTAATGCCGGCGAAATCACAAATAGACGAACAGGTCAATCCTGACCGTTACGTAGATGCCGATGGTAAATATATCGGATATATATAGCGATATATATAAAATACATATATACAAAGAAAGGGGATGTTAGCTAGAACGCTTATATCTCAAGAATGGCTGGTCCGATTTTGGCAATTTTTGTCAATTCAGAATTCCCTATTATTACCAAAGATGTCCGCAATATATTTAGGGGCTTAAATGGACCAAAAATAGAAAAAATTTCCTGATCACATAATTGAAGCCAATCGACACGCCTGAGAAGAGAGTTATGGACAGGGAATAATTCTAGCATTTTGGTTGACCATTGGATTATATTTAACTTTAAAATGGACCACAACAAATAAGAGCACGACGGAGTGCGTAAATATTTGGCGAATGTCTCTGTTCAAAATTCTGAGGGTAATATCTGGGCAGTGCTCCGTGACATAATTTCAAAAGCGAAATATTCCAAAATGGATTTGGACATAAGGGGGCTTCTAACATTGTAGTGTTGTAGGGTATCACATAGCCTTTGCTATAGCCTTTGCTTACTTATTTTTAAATATTTTTTTCAATTCAGAATTCTAGGGCAGATGCTACAGAGGGGCCTAACCTATGTAATAGGGATTGAGAATAATCGACTCCGAGTTATGATCGGGCAAAATTTATTTAGTTACCTCTGATATTTGGCATTTTATTGATGTCAGTCAGACTTTCGATGGGATTGTCTGGAATTCAATATGTAAAGTTCATAATAGGAACCAATGCCTCTGGCAGACAGTTTTCTATAGGCCCACATCTCCGGCCATAATATGGTACTTCCGATATTCTGTTCTTTGATAATTTTAGCCACAATTTTCAATTAAATTATCTGGAATTTGTTATTTGAAGTTCGTAATAGCTAACAATACTTCTGAAAGTCTATATAGGACATCATGTTTTAATATATCCCTCCTGATATTCGGAATTTTTATGAATTTTCAATGAAATTGTCTTATATTTTTATACGCTCCACCATAGTATGGAGGATATATTAAGTTTGTCATTCCGTTTGTAACACCTAGAAATATAAAATATACAGGGTGCGATAAAAAAAATACAACAAATTCAAAGGCCATAATTTTTACATTTTATTGAATAAAAACAATAAATGTCGGAAATAGCATCAAATTTTAGAATAAGACTAGATTTGTTCGAATTGCTCGCCTTTGGCACGAATTATGGCCTTCAAAGGTCCAATGAAACCGTTAGACGCTGCTCGAATGTTGCTGTGCGGTATTTTGGGCCATTACCGATGAAGCGCTTGCCTGAGGTGATCGACACTTTGGTATTTTTTAGTGCCAACCTTACTTTCCAAAATACTCCAGCCACAATAGATTGGTGGATTGGTGTCCGGAGATTTTGGTAGCAATTGTGCGCTGGAAATGAAGCGAGGAACCTCATTTTGTAACCATTCTTGGGTGGCGGGTGCTGAGTCCTGTTGGAATGTCCAAGGTCTGCCGCCAAAATGTTTGCGTGCCCAAGGCTTTAATACACCCTACACGGCATTTATTCTGATGCCACGATCGATTAATACGAGCGGGGAGCGACCATCGGCTGTTATGACGGCCCACATAATCACCATGGCCGGCGCTTCAGTTCTGATGGCCAACCCCTGACCTCTTTGGCAAGTAAACACGATCATTTTCTTTGTTTACAAACTGCTAGACAACGAATGTTTTCACATTGGAGAAACCAAATTCGGCAGTTCACCACTTTTGTCCAAGCGAAGCAACTCCTTAGCTCTTTTGAGTCTATTTTCTTTCCGTTGCGGTGTAAGTTCTTGCACTTTTTGGAATTTCAATGGTTTTACCCCGAGCTCATTTTTCAATATTTACCGAATGGAATATTGTGATATGTTCAGCACACGAGCCATTTTTCGACTACTGCGACGTGGGTTTTGATCAAGTCGCTTCTTTACTTTTGAATCATTGCTGATGTTGCTGTCGAAACACAAAAGATTTATTCCCATTTAAATGCTGGATTGCTGTACCGATAGCCACTTGTGGTTTTCCAGCCAAATAGCCAACTTGAAAAGAATTTTATGATGTTTTTTGGGTATTTAAAATTTTGACCCTTGTGGGATTCAGGGCGATATATTCCACCTTCACACCAGATCTTGTGTTAATAAAAATATAAATATGTGCCGAGTTTGAAGGTAATCGGTTCATAATTTTTCGTTTTACGAGTTTCATGGCCATTGAAAATTTTGAACCGTTATGGGGGAGATACCAGAAGTAGTGGCCCGTTCTATCTAATTGGGATGTTTGAAATTTGAAGGCGATTGGCCTCTTATTTCACATTGTATAAGAGTTATAATTATTCCAAATTTTGACCCTTTGTAACGGTCGCCTGTAATCTAAAATTTTCCTTTCTCATAGGGTAGGTGGAATAAACTTATTGGTATAGGTACCCATATAATTATACCCTCCACCTTGGAAAGGAGGGTATATTAACTTTGTCATTCCGTTTGTAACATCCTTAAATATTCGTCGTAGATCCCATAAAGTATATATATTCATAATCAGCATAAAATTCTAAGTCGATTTAACAATGTCCGTCTGTCCGTATGTCTGTTGAAATCACGATACAGCCCACATTATTTGACGTAGAGCTCCAGAGCAATTTGTATTGTGTCTAGGATGGTTGGTATTGAAAATGAGATATATCGGTCCACGTTCTGGTATAGTCCCCATATAACGGTACCTCCCGATATTCGGTATTTTGATGATTTTTGACACATTTTTTCAATAATTTCTCTGAAAATTGGTAGTTGCAGATTATAATGGGTCCTAGTTCGTGTGGCGAGTCATTGTAATTATAGGTCCACGTTTTGGTATAGCCCCCATATAACGGTACGTCCCGATGTTCGATAATTTGGTGATTTTTGCCACATTTTTTCACGGATTTGTCTGAAAATTGGTATTTGTAGGTCATAATGGGTTCTAGGGTTCCTTTGGCGAAACATTGCATGTGTAGGTCCACGATGTAGGTCCCATATAACGGGACCTCCCGATATTCGGCATTTTAATGGTTTTTGTCACATTTCTTCTAACGTTTCCTTTACCCTAAGGTGTAGGGTATTAAATGTTTGGCCCGGCCGAACTTAATGTTTTTTTACTTGTTTTATTTTCTAACTTTCAAAATTTTTGGGGCCTTAGCCCCATTCCCTACCGATTTCACTGGAATTTCGAGATTTAAATGGAACCTGGATAAAATATTATTGTTATTATTTTCAGAGGTTTTTTTTTTGTCATGGTAGAGGGTAAGATATACTGGCTTTGATGAGAAGACCTTTTTACTTCAAGAAAAAAGGTAGGGTTCTAAAATGACGGCCTTGTTTAGGGTATTTCTGTCGTATTGCTTTTTTTTGGAATGTCAATACTTAGCTATAAAATATTTATTATTGATTTGATTCTATTGTTTTGTTATATCGTTTCTTTTTTCGGGGGATATTGTAGTTTTTGTTTCAAATGAAATTTAAATAAATTATTCTATAGCTTGTTTTCTATTCATCCATACGTATTAGCTGAATTATCTTTATTACCATTAATGCCATAAACGGCTTGACCAACATCTCTGGTGGTGTGAGAAGTTCACATGAGTGTGCGTGTGTTTGTGTGCATATCATTTTTTTTTAAATCTCCACAAAAATAACTGAAACACAAAATCAACCAATCAAAAATGGATCTAACCAATATTGAATATTTTCTTCGGATTAAAACTCGAAATAATATATTAATGAATAATTTGTTGTGTTTTTTTTTTTTTTTTTTTAATTTCTCCACCACACATTAAGAGTAACCAAAAGATTATCAGCTTTTGTGATCAAAATATGAATATTATTATTTGAAATCGTTGAATATATGAATTGATTTGAAAGAATGAATACACCTTTAATAAAGTGTTAAAAATCTGGTCATTTAAGCAACCAACCGAAGAGCGAAAAAAAAAAACAAGTGAAACACATAAAAGTCAAATCATCGGAAAATCAACAAAATATCAACCAAAAAAAGAAACAACAACAACAAATATGTGAATACCAGTTTTGTGTTAAAACAGAAACATAAAGAAACCAACAACAAATACATGAAAAATAATTTCTTCAAATGCTCAACATTGGAAGCTGTTGCGCCAACTAAAGGATTTATTTATGTGGATATATTTCATTTTATTAAACGGTCGAAAAATTATGTAAGTATGTCAGTAAAATAAACGAAAATATAATATTAAACAGAGAGATATATGATTATAGTGAAAAAAAAAAAAAATCTAGATAATATGCATACTAAAATCGCCAATTAGCTGATAAGGTGAATTTTTTTTGGAGATAAATAGAAATATATTTTTTTAATTTTATTAGCAAAGGACGTATTGGTAGTGAGTAGGGGCCGACTATGTGATACCCTACAACACTACAATATGTCTGAAGCCCCTTAATGTCCGAATCCATTTTGGAAGGTTTCGCTTTTGAAATTATGTTACGGAGTACGGCCCAGATATTACCCTTAGCATTTTGATCAGGGACATTTGCCCAATATTTACGCACTCCGTCGTGCTGCTAGTTGATTTTGGTACATTTTACAGCTAAATATAATCCAATGGTCATCCAAAATGCTAGAATTCTTCCCTGTCCTTTACGCTCTTCTCAGGCGTGTCGAATGGCTTCAATTGTGTGATGAGGAATTTTTTCCGTTTTTGTTCCACTTCAACCCCTAAATATATTGCGGACATCTTTGAAAACAATAGGCCTAACCTTTCTGTGCCTAACCCTACCCTTTTTCGTGAGCATCGGACGATAATTGCAATCTGTATATAATATCCCAAACCTGTGTTGTAAGGTGGAAAAATATTACAAAATGTAAACCTTAATATTATAAGTCAAACTGAAAAAATCCCTGGCGATAAAATAAATGAAAAAATAACAAAATGTCACAAAATACTACAAAATCTATATTAACATCATTATTAGCACTTTTTATGCGATTTTTTTAGATTTTATACTTTTATGTCAAGAGGGCATTCTGCATTGACAAAATTTGTCAAAATCGTTCCAGCCATTCTGGAGATATAAGCATTCTAACTAACATCCCCTTCCTTTGCATATACATATTGTATATATTTCGCTATATATAACAGAAATATTTACTATCGGCATCTACGTAACGGTCAGAACTGACCTGTTCGTCTATTTCCGATTTCACCGAGATTAAAAATATTCGCGGTTTAATGGAAAATTTGACTTTTATTTAACACAAATTTTGTGGCCTATTTAACCCACTAAATATCGCCCGATGACCATCAAAATTGGAAGGCTTCTGTCCAGCCCAAAGCTCTAGCCCCATGCTAACTTCCGCTTTGATTAGTCTGTAATAGCGACCTGTAGAGCAACTGCAAAATTAGGAATTTTTTCAGTTTTTGGTCAATTTCAACCCCTAAATATCATGCAATCATCTCCAAAAGAAATATGGTTCTATTCTGGCTCTACCCCCAAATCCATTCGTAATTTCGTGAAGATCGGGCCATAATTGCGATCTGTAAAGTGATTACAAATTAACATGGACGGACGGACGGACATACATAGCTAGATCGACTCAGCTCGGCGAGATAGGAAGATCCATATATACTTTCCTATGTGGGAAACCAATATTTCGTGGTGTGACATAATTTTTGGGCCAATCAAACTTATAATGCCCCCAACACATAGTGTTGTAGGGTATAAAAAGCAGTAAGTTCGGCCGGGCCGTACTTCAAATACCCTCCACCATTTGTAACGAATTTTGAAATTTTCATAAAATAAAATCCGTTAAAAGTTCTGTTAAAATCTTAAAAATACATTGGGTTCTATACGACGTGGACCTACATAAGCATTGTTTGTCATAAGCCATTACCATATTCAAATTCGAAACGTGAAATAAACGGCGAATAATGTAGCTAAAATCATCAAAATACCGTATTTAGGGAGGTACCGTTCTATCGGAGCAATACGAAGACCTGGACCTGCATAAATAATTCTCTGTCACAGGCTGTAGCATCCATTATGAACTTCAAATACGACATATCAAACAATTTCGGTGAGTATTGTACCTAAAATCGTCAAAACAAAAAAAAAAAAAAACAGAATATAGGGAGGTACTGATATATGGGGCCTATACGAAGACCTGGAAGACCATTACAAACTTTAAATACGTAATTTGAAACTACTCCGGCGAATAATGACGCTAAAATCATCAAAATTCCAAATATGGGGAAGTACCGCTATATGGGGGGTACAATAAGACATGGAGTTGCACAGATAATTTTTTGTCACCGGCTGTTGTATTCATTACGAACTTCAAATACCAAATTTGAAACAATTACGGTGAATAATGTCGCTAAAATTATCAAAATACCAAATATAGGGAGGTACCGTTATATAGGGGCTATACGAACATATGGACCTGCACAGACAAATTTCTGTCTTGGGCTGTAGTATCCATTTCGAACTTCAAATATCAAATTTGAAAAAATTCCGGTGAATAATGTTGCTAAAATCATGAAACTACCGAATATCGGGAGGTTCCGTTATATGGGTGCTATACCAAAACGTTAGGTTCTCGTTCGTGGCCCATTTTCAAGACATACTTCATAGACATAGATTATGCTGATCAAGAATATTTATACTTTGTGGGGTCTAAAATGTATATTTCGAGGTGTTACAAACGGAATGACAAACTTAATTTACCCTCCATACTATGGCATATTAGAATAAGTTAATATTTGTTCGAATTAGTCACATTTGGCGCGAATTATGGCCTCCAAACGATTAATGAAGCCGTCACACGCTGTCCGAATGTTGTTCTGCGTACAGTATTTTTGCCCATTCCCGGCGAAGCGCTTGCTTGAGGTGATCGACACTTTGGTAATTTTTAGTGCCAACCTTGCATTCCACATATCCGAAGATTTTGGTGGAAATGAAGCGAGCAACCTCATTTTGGGTAGCGCGTGCTGAGCGCAATGGTGCTGAGTCCTGTTGGAATGTCCAAGGTCTGCGGCCAAAATATTTGCGTGTCCAAGGCTTTAGTACCCCCTCCAGAATATTTTCGCGATAATATTCGGCATTTATTCTGATGCCACAGTCGATTAATACGAGCGGAGAGCGACCATCGGCTGTTATGGCGCCCCACACCATCGCTATGGCCGGCGCTTGAGTTCTGGTTGTCAACCGAAGGTGCACATTTTCAGCTGACCTCTTTGGTAAGTAAACACGATCATTTTGTTTGTTTACAAACTGCTGGAGAACGAATGTTGTCTCATCGGAGAAAACCAAATTCGGCAGTTTACCACTTTCAACTAAGCGAAGCAACTCTTTAGCTTTTTTGAGTCTATTTTAATTTCGGTTGCGGTATAAGTTCTTGCACTTTTTGGAATTTCAATGGCTTTACCCCGAGCTCATTTTTCAATATTTGCCGAATGGAATATTGCGATATGTTCAGCTCACGAAGCATTTTTCGGTCACTGCGACGCGGGTTTCGATAAAGTAGCTTCTTTACTTTTCGAACCATTAATTATTACCCAAGTGTTTAGATAAAAAATGTCTTAGCACCCTGCACCCAAATTATGACTCAATCGAAAATATCATTATCATGCATTGCAATGTCCCCCCATTTTCAGCATATATTCGCATTCATTCGATTTTCATTGCTAAATTCAATAATTGTTTATAACTTTTGATTGAAGCCTTTATTTTTCTGCTCTAATTAATTGAACAATTAAGAGTTACTGTTTGCGTATCGGTGTATGTGTGTGTGTGTGTTGCCTATTTGTCGAGATATTTGAGTGATTGTGTCGTGCCATTCAGTCGCCGACTACTGTTCATTGCGGCACTTAACTCGCTCAACGTAATGGCATTGCCGCGAATTGCCGCAAAGCAATTTGTTTGTAAATAGCGATGCAACAAGAACTAGAAGCGATTCCGAAAAATAGAATAGAATTAAAAAAAAAATGGAAGTCGCGTAGAGAAAAAAGGCGGCAAAAAACAAATAAGTTTTTGCGCTGCTTGAAAAAAAATATTGCAGATAAAAATTGTGTTGTGACTTAGTTTGTTTTTGATAGTTTAAAGGCTTCAGTTTGAAGTGAGAGTACTATACGAACATAATATGTGTCATGCTTATGCTACATGGTACTATTTTCGGAAAAGTTGTATGTTTCCACAGTAAGGACCCCAACAGAACTTAACACCAGTTTGCCTTGTACAAATAAATATTATAATCGGTTCTAAGGCTTAATTACGCTGGACAAAAAAAAAAAAGTTTAAACCCTAGCAACAAACTGTGATCTCAATATCAAATTTCAAAATCTCAGCTATATCTCAATACCAAATTTGGTAACATTCAGTGCGCATATCCAAAACAATCTCTATATCTCCATACTGATCCTAAATTAGTATAATTTAATACTTTTCGAACCATTATAGAACGCGAAACAACTACCAGATCTCAACGCAAGATACCAAAAAAACCTCAATAACAAATTCGGGGATTTCAGCTCTCTCTCTCCCCCTCTCTCTCTCTCTCTCTCTCTCTCTTCATCCAATACCAAATTTAGTATCATTATGTACAAATATAGGATGCAATTCCAAGCCACCGCCAAATCTTTAACACAGATACCATCAGTAATCTAAATATCAAATTTCAGGATTGCAGGTCTATTGCTTCACCCAATACCAAATTTAGTTCCATTTAGCACTTTTCGCACAATTATAGTACAACTTTCTAAAACAACCTCCATATCTCAATTCCAGATACCAAGAGAGACCTCAATATCAAATATGAGGATTCCAGCACTATCACTTCCTAATTTAATACCATTTTGCAAGCGGAGCCCTCAATATTAAATTTGAGAATCCAAGCTCTATCCCTTCGCCCAATATCAAATTTAGTACTATTTAGTACATTTCATACAACTAAAGAACATATTTCCAATCTATCGCCTAATCACAAACAAAGATACCATCAGTAATCGTAATTATAAATTTCAGGATTTCAGCTCTATTCCATTGTCCAAAACTAAGTTTAGAACTACAGGGTGAGATGAAAAAAACTGCAATCAACTTCAGACTGCTGTCATTTCCAAGCCATTTGTCCGACGGCTGTTAAAATTATCCCAGTGACAGCTCATTATATTGTTTACAAGCGTACAAAAGCATTTTGGTG